AAAATAATAAAATGGTTGGTACGTCATGGGAATGCGGTTAAAGAATGCCTAAAAACACAGAATAAAGGGCAAACATAAATAAATATAGTGGGACTTCGGAATTCGAACGGTCCCTTACCCGAAAAATTCGGTAGTTGAACAAAGAAATTCGAAAAAAAAGTCTCTATACCCGAACAAATCATGCCACAAACATATTCAATTATAAAGCTATGTCTCACTTTAGACACATTTTAAATGCCAGAAGAACATCCAGCCAATAATATTTCTTCTCTTTTCCACTTACGTCATCAACTCTCATCATTACAGGTGAAGTGACATTACATTTTCTTTTCATTTACTGCACATTGTGTTTATTATTTTTTTCTATTTGATTTTATGCACGTAAGGCATTATTAAACTGTAATATGTGTGTTAAAATGCTGTAATTTGGGGGGTCTGGAACAGATGAATCAAATTTACATTAATTCCTATAGGAAATGTTGATTCGGTTCTCAAACAAATCGGAACTCGAACAGCCTTCTGGAACGGATTAAGTCTGAGTTCCGAAGTTCGGTGAGAAGTATACATTTGTGGGATCTGCCTGGTAACAAAGGCCACAACAGGGCATGGAAAGTGGTCAGAGTGGTTTTATATAGCCCTAGACTCATATCTGTTGGCCTGCCTAACTAATGATGCCATGACGTGTGCGACTTGACTTGAACAAGAGTGGCAAAATAAAATGATACAGGCATCAAGGGGGGAAAACGAGTGCCAAAACTGAAAAGGGAGCATACCACTTCTTTAGCACTTGTGTAAGTGACTTGGTATATAGTGGGATTAAGTGAGATCCTCACGAAGCTGCTTCATATGCTTCACTGCACCATAAACTATTAAAGAAAGCCAACCAATCTGTGTTGCCATCGCAGGTTTATAAAAGCAGTTTATTTTATGGTACTTTTACTGAGTATTTCCATAAATCACATCGATCAAAGAGTTCTCTGTCTTGTTACCTTGAAATACGTTGTATTTTGGTTGTAAAAAGTTCATACCCATTTTTCTTAGGTATTGCTCTTATTTGAAAGGATATACGTTGAACATAACGCCCATTTCTACATTCTGGTTTATCACTCGTAGCTTTGCTACACCCTCAGGATATTCCGAATCCTAACAGTTCTGTTTTCATGGAATCCTAAACTCCTTTTTGCTGTCCTAAAGCTGAATCTGCAAAGTCAAGCCGGTCACTAACTTGCCCTTCGAGATTCCTCCCTGCTGATTGTTCCATTATAAAATCTTAAGCAGACCTATCTCCATATCCAGCAACTCCAGTCCTTGTGTTACTAATTTTCTACTATTCACAGGTCAGTAATAATATTCTTCAAACTTAATCTAATATATCTGATCTTCTGCGTGAAGATATACTTCTCTGTATTAAACTTTATAAATCACACAGATACCTGAATATTAACTACCTGCTTCTATGGCATTAAAAAAATTGTTTCTTTTTTTTTCTCAACTTTATGGATATGTAAACTTATACTATCATTGCTTTAGCTCCTGTATATGAGTTTCCCCAAGACAAAACAACCAAATGTATAACAAAAAAACAAACAAAAAAAAAAGGCCAATTTCCAGTTTTCCTTCCTACAAATGACTAACAGTAAGGGGGAGAAGGTTATAATATTATTTAAGGTTTGCTGCAAATGGAAGATGGCTGGTTATCAGTGCATTAGGTGGTCAGGGGCTTGGGGAGCCCTGCTTCATTGGTAGTAGTTAGTGATATAGTGACTGTGTTAGGACCAAAGTACTTGAGGTCCCTTGGTTCTAGTATGTATAGGTATATGTAACAACAAGTGAACTAGGCATTCTATGGTCCTGTCACAGGTTAGCTCGGGGGTTTGAGGACCAGCCAGTTCACTTTATGTCAACACTCATCTCATTCCACAGCACATGGGATTTAGAAATGAGTAAAGACAAAAGAAGAGGACTATTTGCTAAGTCCTTTTACACACCAACAAGTTTAATAGAGGTCTTAAAAATAACTATGACCATGGACTATGGACTTATATAGTGTGATATATGGTTTTAGTAGGCCAATATTGTGTTTATCTTTTTATATTTCATTCTTACAGTAAAGTTAAGATAGAGTTGGTTATGGATGTCATACATGTTTAGTGCGTTTAGTGCGTTTTATTTCCTCCTTTTAGGGTGCTTAGATGGAGAGTAGTGAGGTATATTGTATTGTTATGTGGACAGGTCTTCTTCCGCATTCCCACGTGGGAGTGCTTTTTCGATTGTGGTTAAGGTGCATCTTAAATATTTTATGAGGTTTGAACAAGTGGGATAAAAGTTAACTTTCACCGAACCTTTTCTTGTTCCATTTCTTGTGCTTTTTTTTTAGCACAGACAACTGTCAAACAAAAACCATCTACATTATAGGTAAACAAATTATTCATCTTAAATTGCACTTGTTTAAGTGAAGAGATAAACTAAAAACATAAAAATATGTGTGGGGAATAATCCCCTCTAATCAGCACTAGTGAGATACTAGAGTATTGAGATCAAGTAGTCTACCACCCTGAAAGGATAATCATGATGTATAGAGATTAGCAAAGGCTGAAGAAGTATGGTAACCCAGCTTTCACCCTGCAACCACTAGTTTCACTAGCAATTTATTTCCATACCTCATTAAGTCCATTAAGTCGTCATGAGGGCGTGATAGTAAAACCACTCAAGGATCAGAGGGAATAGGACAGTGTAAGAGCTGTGAGAGCACGAAGGCAATTGGAAACCAAGAAGTGACAGCGTTGGGACACTGCCAGAAAGGTGCCTTTGAAGCCATATAATTGTCAAAAGAGGTCGGATTCGCTATGCCTCAGGTGCATTGATAAGACAGGAGTAGTGTATCAACAGGAGACAATTTTAAAGAGTTCTCACTGTAACCTGACTGAAATTGGAGAGCTTAAAGGAGGCCTCCTAAATAGCAAGGTCCACTCCCTCACCATACAAAGCAGCATTTTAAGGACTAAGGACAGGAATTCCACATCTTATGGCCACCTCCTGCTCGTTCCTACAAAGGGAGTTGCCACTTTTCGAGCTATATATGCTACCTAAAGAGGTAAAATGCCACCTGGGTTGAGTGAAACCACTAGAGGATCCACACCAATGTGAGGCTTTCTCTGGAGATCTAAAGTTTCTTGTTTTATCTTATAGGTCATCGTTTTAAGCAACCACTGATTTGAAAGGCTATACTTAAGACTTAAAGTGAGACTGTCAGCTACATATCATTTAAAATAATCAACCAACAGTCACATTATGTGATTACGTGTGACCGGGTTTGCTGTTGGGAGTTATGGAACTGTCTGTTTATGTATGTTTGACACCTCTTGTGATTTCCCAGATGTTTCTTATGTCTACGTCACCCTGTGCCTATTATAGGTGCTCTCCTGTTCTGCTGACGCTCTCTACCAATTAGTTGGATTTGACTGTGATGCCTGTACAGCACCATATGTTGGTTGTGAAGATCTTGACACTGTTATATGCAGTAAATGAATAGGAAGGCTGGTTAATTTGCATATTCAAATAGATTTGCATATTATGGTTTATGCAGGCATGAGCTTAATTTCTTGTCATTTATTGTCTTCCCCATCCATTTATAATTACTATATTGTGTTATATGAGTGCCTGTATGATTCCCCACTTGATTATACGTTATGTGTTGGATTGAGTGTGTCACCATAATGTGGATAGGGGTTAGTTCTAAGTGTAAATAAAGTGTTGTGTGTAAATATTGGTGACTGTGTGTCCTGCCTGGTTTGTTCAGAGAGCCCAGTAACAGAGTTTTTTGGACCTGTTGACTGGCTGCACTGGTCCCTGATAACCAGGACGAGTTAAGAGCCAGGCCTGAAAGTCACAAGTGCCTTTGTGAAAGCAGTAGTTGGAGGCAGTGTAGGTAGAGGGGCCAACACTTGCCTGGGAAAGGAATAAAAGAGGCAAAGGCAAAGGGGATGATACCTGCCTGGAAGGAGAGAGCTTCAGCCTGGTCCAGTGGAAGACGGCTGCAGATACCCTAGTCAAGCTTCGGCGACTGGGTCCTGAAGTGCTGCAGAGTCCATGGTAGCAGAGAGGAAGCTGACCTGGTAGAGGTACTCAGTTGGTGTACACAAGCTTCATCACATCTATTTTTTCTCAGCTGAATTCCTACTTGTCAATATTTCTGCCTTCTGACAGTTTTTTTCACCCAATGTTGTATTTCCAAGCAGGCATTTCTCTTTATCAAGCTAGTCCACACATTCAGTGTTATTGACTTAAGGAAGAATTGATCAAGGAATCCAATTAGGATCCATATGTTTAAAAAGTGTGACAGGGGGCGGGGCCGGACCGCCAGGCTGGACGGTCGCAAGTCAGACCAGCTCCAGTAACACAATACATAATCACTGCTAAAAACGCTGATTACCACCTAAAACCTGATCTACCGCGAAGATACCCAGAGCCGAGGGACTGCTGGACCCGGGGAGAGGCTGGCTCACTGAGCTTCAGTCCCCTGGGGGAGAAAAACATGTTGCCCCAACCGGGGCCTTCTCCGGCGGTGAGTGAGGCAGACGGCCGCTGCCTCACTATCCTGCACCACAGAACCAGACCAACGGTACAGACCGGCGCGGATCCGGCTCCGTTCCCCCCCCTATGGACCGGGGGGGTGATCCCGGTCCTCACCCTGCAGCCCTGAATGTGACTCCGCGACTGAGGCCGAGAAGCCCGACTGCTGCCTCCAAAATGGCGGGCGTCTTGCACGCAGACAACAAGGGGAACACCTCCCACCTCCTCATGATCACACCAAAAACAGCTCCCACATCCCGATCCCACTACATAGGGAAACGGCAAACACAGAGCCTACCCTTATCACCCAAGCCAGCAACTAGATGCATGGGCGACCGGAACAAGCGGGAGTTTGCGGCTGCACCGGGAGGGCGGAACTCCTAACAGCAACCATTCCCCGCCTGGGGTAACTGCGCCAGCTGCCCAGCATGACACCTCTGCCGGCAGCACTCATTTACCACTCAGCCTATAACAGGATTACCCAGAAAGCGGCGGACTCCCATGGACAAAGCCCAGCTCTCACGCATGGCGGACATCAGCCTGCAGACAAGGGAAGACGGCAAGCGCCAAGGCTGCAACTCGAATGCACCCAAAGAACTATACAGGAGTCTATGAGGACAAAGTACACTCTGATGCCTGCTCTGATGGACACTTGCCCCCTACCACCTGAACACAGCAGAAGAGGTATCGGATAAAAGCGGGACTACCCCTGTCTGAGTGGCCTAGGGACCACCAGGATACCGATATCCCCCACACGGAGGCAGCTCTGGGAACTACGACCCATCAGGGTGACAGTTGCCCCGCATTGTCTAACCCCACTAGTCTTTATAATATGACCTACCTAGACATAGTATAAAAGTTAATCTATAAGTTGTATCTACCAGTGACCGCAAGTTATCGCAATGTATACGGCACTCACAGCAACGTACACTCTTATTCCACACTACATCTTAACTGAAGTTACTGAACCTACTGTATAGCTACATAACTAACTAAGCCTGTTTACGTTTAGCCTGCATGATCTCTAACTTAAAAATGAGCCACTAGTTAAGTCTACATTACCTTGACTAACTCATGTTGTATCTACATTACTGTTGCTAGCTTAATCGTCAAATATAAAATTTCATGCTGTTTTCCTAAATGATGCAAGTATTATCTCTAGTAGTCCTCACTATTACTTCACATGTATCACTGAATGTACCGCAAAGCCTTGCATTTGCTGTTGTGGCAATGCAGGATGCAATGTAACCTCATGCATGTTCAAAAATAAAGAATATAAAAAAAAAAAAAAAAGTGTGACAAAGTATGACCATCTAAGGTGCAGCTTAACGCTTCACCTGGTAGTAAATAACCCATTAATGATTAAATTCTAAATATATTTTCAGAATAGAAAACCATATAAATTGTTGTTTATAATTTTTTTATTTACACTTAATTAGTTTCAAATTTTTTGTATACTGTGGCCAGCTCAGCATTCTGCGTCATCAGGAAGTCAAAACAGTCGACTTCCTTTCGGCTACATATTAGAATGCTGGGGGGCAGCTCCAATAGGGAAATCCCAATGGCCCTGAGAATTCTGAAAACAACATTTATTTTTTATTTACAATTTTCCGCTGTAAAATACAATCAGGCTTTAATCAGACTTCAAGGAGTGATTACTACTTTTGGATTACCGTTCTAAGCCAATTCATGTAAATATCTTTTCAAGTAAAAATTATACCACTTAAAAATAATGTGTTTATGCGAACAACCTTTCTTTCTTTCAGTTCTGAAACAATGCGGAAACCACAAAAGTGCATTTTCATTATTGTATTGCTTTCTTCTGTATTATTTGGAGTAACTCTGCATTTGGCGTGGATGTCATTTTCACAAAATAAAGGTAAGCCAATGTGTGTCTGAAAAAATGTGCCTGTAAATGGGATGGAGTTTATATCCTTGATGCCCTTAGAATGCCCCCATATTGCAATATTCCTTACATAATGGCGTATTGCATCCTTATTGTTTTGCTATTTTCCACCTATATATTGTTCCCCTATATTACCACTTTACCATTGCATATTACCCTTGTATATTACCTCATTACACCCCTTTATTGCCTTGTATATTGCATATCGATATATTACCCTATATCTTGCTGTATTGATTAAATTATAGCCCCCTTACTTCTACAGTCAGGTACACAAGAGAGCTTGTTAAGGAGGAAGGGGTTAAAACATAGGAAGGGGGTACATTATTGGCTGTCTGATGTACAATGCACATGAGGACTGAAAGTTGGGCCAGGTAGATATGCAAGGGAAATGGGACTTGCCAACTTTCCATAGTCATTGCCAAAAAACAGGATCAGTCTCTCCTGTAACCCATCAGGTACGTCCCATCAAGACTGTATTTTTCTTGTTTTTGAAGCAATGTACGAACAATGAACACCGGAAGAGGCCGCAACATCAGAAGTCTCCTCTCCTCCCCGTACTCACTTTTACAATTTCTCTAACATTAACATTGAATGCTGGTAACATTATACAAAAAATCAGCAGACATATATGCATGTATTTTGCTTATTGAATTTCTTTGGCAGTAACAATATTTAACTTGATTTAACATGAAAATATCAATTTCAAACAAGAATATCAACTTGACTCTGATAAGTTCATGTCTTTAGTACACAGAAGTAAGATGAGGTGGGTCCACAGAGTACCTGCTATAGCTTCCTCAATTCCAAATTTAAAAAGAACTATTTCTAGGTGCTCTACTCTGAGAGTGCAAACTACATTTTATTGTTTCTGCACTGCCCTATTGGCCGCAGAAAATAGAGGTTGCGGACCCATCAGCTTCCACTGTTTTTTTTTGCTACCAAAATACTAGCCTCCGTTCTCACATGCAGTCTGAAAGCAGCAGAGGCACCAATATTCTGATATGTATACAGTCTCCTGCGGATTCCAAAGATTGCTTGGGACAGTCTCCTACTGTTACAGCTGTTTGAGTCAGCTTGCCATACCCGATTTGGGCAAATGGCGATTTGGGCAGTGGCGTACTAAGGGGGAGGGAGTGGTCCGTGCCGGTTACCACTTAGTAGGGGGGGTGCTACGCTCTGTACCTCCTGCTGGTTCGAAGAGGAAAAGGGTATTTGAACGTGACTTTGAAGAAAGGTAGATGCTGCGTCAGTGGTGGAACTAACGTAGACGTCCGTGGTGCAAGAATTTGGGGATGGTGTGGCCAAAAGGTAGATACCCATCTGTCGTACAAGTCTCACAAGGCTTTGCCAGCTGAGGATCTAATATTTGCACATCCTTGCAGGGTTGTATTTAGCAGTGAGCAGTGTTTGTGTGTTTGAATGCAAGCATGTTTTGGTATGGAGTGTGTGTATGTGAATGCGAATGAAGTTGTATAATCTTATGTACGGTTGCTATTTGGAAGCAGTGGTGTACTTGTTTTTGTAAGTGTTTGTTTTTGAATGTAGGGGTGTGTTTGTATGTAGTTTTGGCATTTGAATGCAGCCGTGCATTTGTGTGTAGTGTTGGTTTTAGAATGCACGGTTGTATTTATATATATATTGTTGGTGTTTTAATACAGATGTGTGCTTCTATGTATGCTGACATCTGAATGTAGGGGTGTATTTGTGTGTAGTGTTGGTGTTTGGATGCATCTATTGAGCCACAGGGGAAATGTAGCAAACTGGCTGAACATCATGAATAAATATTCAGTGCCAAGCTTAGCTATTGCTTGAGAAGTTTACCAGGAATTGGATGGGATATATAAAAAAAAAACTGACAAAGAGTGAGTGTAAATGAATAGTTAATACAGCCACATCTTCAAGGGGCCTAAAATGTTTTTGTTGTCACTGAGCCATGATGGGCCCCTTTTAATACCTGATCTGCCAAATTAATATTTAAATTCTTTTTTTTTTTTTAGGCACCAACGAAATAAGCATTACACAGCAGAATCGGAAAAGAATTTTGAAGTCAGCCTGTCCCCAAGGAAATCTAAGTAATTTTTTAAATAAAATTGATCTGTTTCATGCAAAGCGATTATTTGTGGAGGAGAACCATAAATTCATCTACTGCGAAGTACCAAAAGTGGGGTGCTCAAACTGGAAGAGAATCATATTTCTTTTGAAAACAAATATCAGCGTGAGAGCAAATTACATTGATCATGAGGCTATTCATAGCACTAATTTCATAAAGAGGCTAAGCGACTTTCCCCCAGAACAGCAACAATTGATGCTACAAAAATATACCAAGGTCATGTTTACGAGAGATCCATTGCAGAGAATGGTTTCAGCTTATAGGGATAAATTCCTCCATTCTGGTGGCTACTACGGGGGTCACATAGCAAATCGCATCAAATTAATGTTCAGAAAAAAGGAGGACCAATCTAACGATAACGTATCCTTTGAAGAGTTTGTTCGCTATCTCATTCAACAAAATCCAAAAAACATGGATATACATTGGATGCCAATGCATCAGCTTTGTGATCCATGCAATATTAATTATGACATTTTAGGGAAATTCACAACCTTGAAAACTGATTCTGACTATGTTTTAAAGGTAATAGGGGCGCCTGCTAGCGTCAGATACCCAGACATAAAGCAGTATAATGAATCCAGAACTGATGAAAAGATAAGCGAAGATTATCTTTCAAAGTTGCCTCTTCCAATGTTAGAACGTCTGGCACAGATATACAAATTGGATTACATTCTCTTTGACTACCGGTAATACTAATTCTGCAGATCTTTACAATGTTAAATGAAATGAACCTGGCAGTGAATGGGGTTAATCTTCTGTGTTATTCATCCTCAATATGTTAATGCATGTTTGTATTTGTTGCAGTGCAAAAAAAAAAAAAAGAGGATAAAAATAAAGTGGAAAAATAAATTGCAGCACCAAAATACTCTATTATTTTGTAAAAATATTATTAGAGTAAACATTCGTTCACTTGCATAACCCTGAGAAACAGAAGGAACAGTGTTCACTAGGTTCCCCCAGCTGTCACACAATGGAATATCCAAAAAGGAAAAGAATCAGGAACACTGTGTTCTACGGCTTTTGAAAAATGAGCTTTGCTATTCGAGACGGAAAAGAATTATCTTCAAACCACAATATAGACAAAGAAAGACTACGGGACTGGTAAATGCATATACAAAGTATCTAATGTGTTTCACCCATCTTAGGTCCTAGTCATAGAATGATAAACAGGGCTACTCATTAAACATAAACACCAAACTTTAGTGAATTAAACCCAAATGGGACTGTCAAGATTAAAATAGTCAAGCTTTGACAATAGCCGAGTTGGAGAATTTTTCTAAAAGGACAAAAGTGGTAAGTGGTGTCTCTCAGGGTTCTGATTTGGGAGAGAAATGCAGTTATGCACTTCAGGGTCAAGAATGCACACGCAACGTACACCCTAAATGGCAGTGATTTAGGGATAACCACACACGGGAAGGATTTGGGAATTGTCATAGACAACAAATTAGGCAGCAATATGCAATGTCAATCTGCCGTTGCTAAGGCCAGTAAGGTTTTGTCATGTATAAATAGGGCCATAGATTCTAGGGATGAAAATATAATTTTGCCTCTTTATAAATCGCTGGTAAAACCACACCTTGAATATGCTGTGCAATTTTGGGCACCTGTTCTAAAGAAGGATATCATGGCACTAGAAAAAGTGCAGAGACGAGCTACAAAGTTGATCAAAGGAATGGAGCACTTTAGTTACGAAGAAAGGTTAAAAAATATAAATCTCTTTCGTTTGGAAAAACGGCGCCTGAGAGGGGACATGATAACATTATAAAAATATATATGGGGTCAGTATAAACCATTATCTGGAAATCTATTCACAAACAGGGCTATACATAGGAAACAAGGTCACGCATTTAGGCTGGTAGAAAGGAGATTTAATCTAAGGCAAAGGAAAGATTTTTTTTACCGTAAGAACTACAAGGATATGGAATCTCTGCCTGGTGGTTTTATCAGAGTCCATAGAGATGTTTAAACAGCAACTGGATACAAAAACATAACATACAGGGATATAATTTATAATTAGTGGGGTAATAGCTGCTTGATCCAAGGAGATATCTGACTGCCATTTGGGGGTGAAGAAGGATTTTTTTCCTAGTTTGTTTCAAAATTGGACGTGCTTCAGACTGGGTTTTTTCCCTTCTTTCGGACCAACAGCAAAAACATATGTGAGGAAGGCTGAACTTGATGGACGCAAGTCTCTTTTCAGCTATGTAACTATGTAACTAGGTACTATGATTAAATACGAGAAAAACTTTCCAACCGTTCTGATAGCCTTTAATGGTGATTTTTGTAGATAAATAATTTAGAAAGATTTTCTAACAGTATTGAATCATTTGCAAAGCTTATTAAATCAAGGCTCCGAAAACTAAAAGTATGAAAATGCCTAAATATCTTCTTGATTCATTGCATAAGTGTCTGTACTGAAAAATAGACTTGGGCATTTGTTTTTGGGTAAATTGTATTTTGGACGAAAATCGGCTCTTTCATCCAATTTCAAATGGGAAACTGACCAAACGAACGAGTGCACACCGAACAATATTCTTCCATGAACTATTTGTTTATTCATTCATTTGGATGATGCGGTCTGCCTTTTACATTACAAAAGAGAAGGGACATTGGGGTGTGATAAATGAACAAATGCGCACTGAACAATATATATTTCCATGTGCCATTTGTTTATTCATTCATTCGTCCTTTAGCATTAAAAAAAGAGGAGGAACATGGGAGTTCTGTATGAATGCTTATATTGAGCGTTCAGGTTTTACTGTGAGTGCTTGTTTCCAATTTGTTTGCTTACTTTATGCATTCAGTTCAGTTATCATTCAATCACGATATAGGCTCATTCGGAATTGTATCTGCAAAATACTGAGATTGTTGAACTGTGAACAATCCCCGGATTTTACAGTCCGATACACCCAGGTTAAGGGCCATTCAGACCTTAGTGAATAACCCTGTCTGACTTCTTCTGAACTGTTCATCCAAATGGAAATTCCAAAACGAAAATAATGATAATGTCTCAATTTCGTTCTCAAACGAATTAGTCAATAACTAAATGAAAATTTAAGGTCTACTGATCAGGTGGATCTTAAAAAGCTGGCAACGTAGCATGCTTCCCAAAGGGTTGGATCCACATATGAAGGGATGAGACCAACCATGAAAGGGGTTGTTGGGCTGCCCATAAAGTGGGTGGCCAGACTGACTGATAGCCTTTCTCAAGGCAGATCTTGAACGGAGTGCAGCTGAAGCACTCCGTGCATGGTTCTGGTGTCCTGAACCCTGCTGCATTCTTAAATCTGCTTGGAAGTGTCAACTATTGGGCAGATCTGAGAATGCAGGACTAGTCCCTGGAACCTATTTTGCAGGGACATGAAAATCAAATGCGGCCCTGTGCTGGCAAAATCATTACTGTTGGCACCTATGAAATGGTGGAAACCAGTTCAAGAGACAGGTAGGACAACGCTTCCCAGTTCATATGGTAATACATTTAAAAAAATCTAATTTGTTGATGTGAAGACTAGGACTGAAATAGTACAATAGTTCTGTCATCATGTCAGGCCTGTGATGCCCCATGTTTTCTGTTTGCTTTATGTACAAAGCATAATTCTAAAGGTAAAGCAGACTCTGCAGGATTACATTGTGTCACAGTAAATGAGTCAGGTACAATGGTTGACGGTTTACCATCTGCAGTGCAGGCATATCCTCTGTACGTAACTAGGGAGAAAGAGTGGTATCTGTTAATTGGATGCATTATTTCCCCCTCACTATCGAATTATTTGATGCCGTCTGTTAATTAGAGTTTGATATTTTTTAGTAACAATACCTGTAGTTTGGTGTACCTGTAATTACCTACTTTAAATTACGCTCTACATTGTTTGCAATTTACACTTATTATAATTGATTTAATTTTCCCCTGAGTCTCTCAGTCCCTGACTGGTCACTTTTGTTTATGTGTCATTTGGAGAATTGCTATATATTCTGTCTATGAACCAGAATAAAGTGCGTTTGTGATTTACCAAGAAGGAACTTGTGTGTCCAGGTATGTTGCCGTTTGTCGTCAACTGTAGATTAGTTACTCGTAGAGAATTGCCAGTTCACTAAATAGATAGAATATGCTATACAAACATACGCTAACATTGCAGTATATCCTTCACTGCCGGTGGATACACAACTCCAAGTAACAAGTCTTAGTGCTTAGTACAGCAGTTATGTATGCAGGTTAGAGACCATAACATGCCTGAATCTTGGTATAGATGACTCAGACATTTGTCTACTCTAATATGATTGTTACCCATTAGCTTTGCATTGGGCCATTAAACGCTGGATGCCCTAAAACACAGGCTTGCTTGCACTGTGCAGAGGTATATGGGATTAGAAATGTTTTTATTTATTCAATTATAACTTTTTATTTTATCTGATTGATTTTATGTATTCATTTTTTTATGCATTATTTTTATTACATATGGGGGGGTCATTTTAACCCATAGTTTCCCTTGTAACAGGACGTATTTTCTTGCCTTGTGAAGTATATAACCTTATATTTTATGTCAAGCAATCCAAACAAAAAATAAATAAATACATAAATAAATACATAAATAAAACTTAATATCGATTAAAGCACTACAATAATTAAAAGTATTGTGTTACCAAGAAGAACATCTAAATGGCGGAAACAATACAAGGTATGTACGTTTGTTTTTTTGGTTGTTTTTTTTTATATTTTTTTATTTATCCCTACGCATACCCATAATGGCATAATAACTTGTATAACTTTAGTAAGTGCCAGAAGTGTTGGGCAACTTTCCAGGACATAAGCATGTGTCTTCTTCAATACCTAAAATTTTATTTAAAGCTCATCTGTTATGTAAATAGAATTTAACAGTTACATTATATATTATCAGAAACATGGCCTAGATATGCAGGTATCGTATTGTTGAGACTTTTGGGAGATATTTTTCAGCATATAAAGAAATTGCTACAACATAGAACATTTAATAATCCATATTAAAACTGTGCTGCATGGTGTGTTTTTTAAATACCTTTTGCTTCGATGCATATTTAAGCAGGTAAGATAGCACAGTGGGCTAATGCATCATAAGTAGGTTCGATTCCCTGCAGGGTTTAATAAGCCCTTCTGTAAATCAAATGAGTACCATTAAATTGGGTAATAGTAACATCCCCAAGACGTTCTTGGAAACCAGAAAATATCTGAATGTACCTTTCCTGGTTAAACACTTCAAGCACTGTGGTCACAAAAGCCCCTGTAGTAGTTATGGCTTCCTTGAATAGTTTATCAAACAGCTAACATGTCCACCAGTGCCATATCCAGTCTTCTCCTACAGGTGAAGCTAGATTTCTTCATTGTGCTAAGCACAGCTCAATATAGATCCACACTAATTGACTGAAAGTGTTCAGTTGATTCAAGGAAAATCGAGAAGCAGGGCTCATTCTAAAACGGTTTGAAAAATTACTTTGAGAGGGCGTCAGGCCACTTCTGAGGGTAGAACCCCCCTTTGCCTGCACTCTGCCCCCCTTCCTCCCCCCTCAGCGGCGATGTCACCATAGCATGTTTTTTGCAAATTATGCAAAGACACCAGACGGGGACAAATCCATTTTAAAAGACTGCCAAACTGAAAAACAGGCATTCTAAAAATGTAACACTGTATCCATATCTGCTTACTCCTCACAAGCGATCCTATATAATCTATCTAATGTACAAATTAAGCAAGTCCACCTTCTATACTGATAATATTTC